GGGGGGACTTGATTAGTTTGAAGTCTGAGAGAAAAGAAACCAGTAGAAAAGATGGCTTTTGAAGGAAGAATGTTTCCAGTCAAACACTGGTGTTTGACTCAAACATATGACTCCAGTTCCTATCAGGGAGGTGGAAAAGGACGGTGTGCAGAGCCAGGCAAAGCCAAAGTATATCGGTATGAAAGGCAGAAACACCTCTTCCTGGGAACAGGGTGTAATTCTCAGGGTTTTTTAAGCTATGAGTAATAGAAGTCTCAATTTAAACTAGTTTAAACCCCTCTGCTCTGTCTTTATTCTCGGGCAGGTTGTCTCCTCCTTGGTAACAAGATGGTGACCAGCAGCCCTGAGCTTCACTGTACTCTTAACAACTATGTCAGTCAGCTTTTCGTCACTGTGACCAAATACCTGAGGAGGATTATTTTATAATATTCACCCAAAAGGTCAAATGCAGAAGAGTGCCAGAGATCTGTGCACACACTGAAGACCCAGAGTCCTGCTGAGGGCCTGGATCTCATAGCAATGTCCTGCGTGAGTGCAGCTGGAGGCCAAGAGCCCAGGGCAATGTCTCATGCAAGTCCGTATCAAGGATCTGCGCTGGGAAGGCCCAAAGTCAGTGGTGGAAGCTAGAAAGTCTGCGCCAGCAGGGTAAAGGCTCTGAGCCAGCAGGATCTGCACTAGAGCCAGGGAGTGATACTCAAGGTAAGGATCAGAGCTTCCCCAAAGAGAACCGCAGTCATCCTCAGTGACAGGGAGGACCCGAGCTCCTTTGACGATGAGAACAGCTGAGTTCATATCAGGAACACCAGCTTGACAAGCTTCTCCAAGAGAATCAACAGCACCATCTTCCCCTCCAGTTCTCCTTTTATGCTGTTGGCAACGATCCTCAGGCGGGCCTTCTGCAGCCAGCACCATGCTGATTCAATTCAGCTGGGGGTTATAAATTGACTATTAGTTAATCCACCACAAGATGGAAAAGGGCCACCCTGAACAAAATCAGTATCCTACTTCAGAAAGATGGGAAAATAACTGTTCAAGCTCAAAGTATCTGGCACATAGCAGAACAGACTTCTGGGGATAGGGATAAGAAGGCCATTTGAATTAGCCAGGCATGGTGGTGTATGCCTGTAATCCCAATACTCAGGAGGCTGAGGCAGGAGTATCGCCATGATTCAAGGCCATCTTGGGCTACATGGTAAGTTCAAGGTCAGCCCGAACTACACAATGAGACCCTATTAAAAAAAAAAAATACAAGAGCGAGAATCCTGGCTACATTGAGCTCTGTAAGATCTGGGCAGCCCAGAACATCTCCAAGATAATCGCCACTTCATAGAATCGCATGTCTCAGTTTCACCCTTGACAGCCTCACAACGGGTAGGACATGAGTGAGCCCGCTCACCCAGAACTCTGCCCCTCAGAGGAAGTGGCCACTCTCCTCTGGATCTTGAGGGGCAGCTGCTGCTCCGGCACCCTGTTCCGCATGGTCCCTCTGCACCTGTCGCCTGGAGCCTGTGGAAGCCCGACCTTCAGGGGCGACTTCCTCCTTCTCTTGTGTCAGCCAGGGGGTTGGGACCGTGTGTGATTTCTCACGATTTCCCACAGTGTGGGAGGAATAATCACCACCCTAGGAATTCACAGTAAACTTTTTTATTACTTTAAAAAAAAAAAAAAAGGGCTGAGCATGTAGTTCAATGTAAAGGCCCTGGGTTCAGTTCTCAGTACCAAAACAATGTCTTTTTCAACTGTAACCCCATGAATGTTCTAAAGAGAAAAATCTTCTCTAAGTAAATTCAGTCTCCTTGTGTCACCAATGTTCTTGATTTCTGTTTTTACCCCTCTGCCCTCTACTTTATGCACATGTTAATTTTCTACTGAGGCCAGCCTTTTTTTTTTTTTTGTCTTTTTGAGACAGGATGTCGCTATGCACTTCAGGCAGGCCTTGAGCTCACTTTGTATCCCAGGCTGGTCTCAAACTCGCAAAGATCCTCCTGCCTCAGCCTCCCGAGTGCTGGGATTACAGGCGTGCACCACCACGCCCGATAGCCTTCTTTCTTAACTTTGCCCCTAAGCATCTTCATAGTGGCTGACTCCCTCGGTCTTGCATCTCTGAATCTACCCAGTTAATATTCCGGGGGTTTTTTGGGAACCAGGATTCAAACGTAGGACCACACACCCACCAAGCGGGCACTGTGCTACTGAGCTATATCCCAGCCCCTTCCCCCATTATTTCACCCAGTGGCTATGCCACAAGCCACGCCGCATGTCCACACATGGGGCTTCTGTGTGCATTCCGTGCTCGCTGCACGGTGGTCACAGGTGTGACTGGACGCCCTTTGCAGAGACGCTGTACACTCCCCGACATCACCACGTCACTGAATAATTTCTCAGACTCGTCTGAGGCATATGACCTGAGGCCCTGCCAGGAGACGGATCCATGTGAAGCTTTGAATCTGCTTGGCTTTGGGACTTGAGGGAGGAAAAGGTCACTTTTTCTTTGAGACAGGGTCTCATTATGCAGTTCAGGCTGGCCTTCAACTCACCATGTAGCCCAGGCTGGCCTCGAACTTGCAGGGATCCTTCTGTCTCAGCCTCCCAAGTGCTGGGATTATAGGCATGCGCCACCACACTCGGCCAAAAGGTCACTTTCTTGATGCTCTGTGACACTAACAGTAGCTGTTACAAATGAATCTAGCTGGGTGTGGTGGCGCACGCCTGTAATCCCAGCACTTAGAAGGCTGAGGCAGGAGGATCGTTGCGAGTTTGAGACCAGCCTGGGCTACAAAGTGAGCTCAAGGCCAGCCTGAACTGCATAGCGAGACCCTGTCTCATAAGACACACACACACACACACACACACACACACACACACAAAGAGTCTAAATCCTGGTATATAGCATTTAATGGCAGTAACAGCAGTTATTCTGTAAGGAATTATATTACCTAATATTCTCAACCAACCCCTCTTTGCTTAAACCTGTCAAAGTAAAGTCTGTTATCAGTAAATCGAGGCTCCTGGCCGATCCACTCACTGTGACAAACGATGCTACAATCCATAGCTACAGAAAACACTGTTTCCCTTTGGGTGCTGTGAACCGTGTTCTCAAACTTCAGTCATTCATGCACCATTTTCCCCCGAATTTGTCAGGCATTCATAATTCATACCACCGATAATATTAAATACCAAATAGTGCTCTTTAAATTCTTCTTCTCTTCCTTCTACTTTCTTTTTCCTTTTGATCTTTTTGAGACTGGGTCTCGCTACACAGTTCAGGCTGGCCTTGAGCTCACTTTGTAGCCCAGGCTGGTCTTGAACTTACAAGGATCCTCCTGCCTCAGCCTCCCGAGTGCTGGGATTACAGGCGAGCGCCACCGCGCCCGGCTGTGTTGGGTTTCTTAATCACTGTATTTCTCAGCTTTCTTTCCTGTAAAATGTGTGGATAACAGACCCTCTGTTACAGTTAGCGCTGGGAACACAGACTGTGAACCAATATGAACGGCGCGTAAGAGTTCCCCAAACTCCTTGGAGCTTTATTTACTTATTTATTTATTGGTACCGGGGATCAAACTCAGGACCTTGCACTTGCCAGGCAGGCGCTTGTGCTGCTGAGCTATATCCCCAGCCCTCCTTTGAGCTTTAGAAGGGACATGTGTGTTATATAGTGCCCCTAGCTGAGCCTACACCATTGAATGCCCATCTCCAGAGGAGGAATCAGGCAATCTACAGTATGTGGAACAAGCACTGTCACATGAGTCAGGCTGAGTTTCAGGAACATAACTCAGAGTTTAATCAGCTGCTATTATCCCCGCAGGATGAGGCTGGGAAGCTGTGATGAGACGGATGGGAAAGCTAGAGGTCATTTTCTACCCTTGTGCTTACTCACAGTCCACAGACATTTTCCAGGCACTCACTGCAAGCCCATCCCCGTGTCAGGTGCTGGGGGTGGAGCAAGGAGTTTTTTTGGACAGGGCCTTGCTATGTAGCCCAGGCTGGTTTCAAACTCGCAGCAATCCTCCTTCCTCAGCCTCCCAAGTGCTGGGATTACAGGCGTGCGCCACCACACTTGGCTCCCGACAGAGTAAAAAAGATTCGGGCCGCCCTTACAGGGTCCCCAACCTTGTCCCTGAGTGTTGGTGCCACCTGTAAAATTGGAGGGGGCGGGGAACCAAGGAAATTACCCCTTAGGCTGCAGAGGGACTATGGGGAGGGCTGAAAATCTCTTGAGGACTCTGATTCTGTGAGGTCGGGCAGTAAGGTGTCCTCCGATAGCGGGCTGGGGATATAGCTCAGTGGCATAAGCGCCTGCCTGGCAAGAGCAAGGTCCTGAGTTCGATTCCCGGTAGCACACCTGTAATCCCAGCACTTGGGAGGCTGAGGCAGGAGGATCGTCGCAAGCTCCAGGCCGGCCTGGGCTACACAGTGGGGCTCTGTCTCAAAAAAAAAGGTAGATACTACTAATCTCATTTTACAGATAAGGAAAAAAAGGTGCGGAGGAAAAAAGGAAAAGTTGCGGAGAGACAAGTCATACTTGAGCTCAACCCTGAAATGCATCCAGGATTTGGTCCTACTTCCACCTGCGGCACAGTGGCCGCCTAGTCGCTCTCGCCAGGCGGAGACGGTCCCTCAGTACCGGCCCCACTACGAACTACAATGCCCATGAGCCTCCGGGGCGCTGTTGCATTATGGGACACTCCACATTTTCCCGTTGGCGGACTCCGGAACCCGCGAGGCCGGAGTTGTGGAAACTTTCTCGTCTTTACCCTCCCGCGACACAGCAGCACGCTGGCTTCCGTCCCTCACCCGGAAGACATCGGAGATGATCATAGAAACCGGCGGATAGAGGCGCCCAGACTTGCCCTCTGAGCCCTCGCTTCCGCCGGAAGTGACCTGCAGCCGCAAGTGCCCGTCCTCGGCTGCACGCGCGGGACCCCGCTACTTTACACTCGGTGTCCGGGGCGGACCACCACAATGGCGGCCGCCACCGTGCTGCGCGCGACGCCCCGCTTTAGCGGTGAGGACACCGGGAGCGCGACGGTCGCCCGGAAACATGAGGGGGAGGCGCGAGTAGCTCGGCTCGGACCCACGGCCTGACTCCCAAGTCCTTGTCCTGGCAGGTTTCTGCGCTAGCCCGGCCCCGTTCCTGCACGGTCTCCTGCGGCCGCTGAAGACCCCGGCGCTGCCCCTCTGGTGCCGTGGCCTGGCGGTGGAGGCCAAGAAGACGTACGTGCGCGACAAGCCCCATGTGAACGTGGGTACCATCGGCCATGTGGACCACGGCAAGACCACGCTGACCGCGGCGATCACGAAGAGTGAGCGGGCCGGGGGGCGGGCCGGCCGCGCGCTGCCTGCTGGGCCGGGAGGGGGGGCCGGGGCTGGGGCGGGCGGTGTCGCGGGGTTCGGAGCGGCCGGGGGGCGGAACCGGCGGGGGGGGTGGGAGATGCCAGCGGCAGATTGTCCCGATGTTGTGTGCATAGACCAGAGCACCCGAGAGCCTCTTTCAGCTTTGAGCCCCTGCCCACTTTTACTTTTGAGACAGCGTCCCCCTTGCGTCCCCCACGCTGGGCTCAACCTGGCAATCCTCCTGCCTCAGCCTTCCTAAGTGTGTGCCGCCACGCCCAGATCCTTAAGAGGCTTCAACATTGTTCTAATGCAGAGTTACCTTGCTGGAAGAGCTAAGAGCGGGGTCATGGAAGCGTCGCCCTCTCTTAGGCTTTTATTTAGGTGGGAACGACCCTGAGCCGAGCCCATAGCTCCCAGTTGGAGCTGAGAAGTGCGTTCTGTTTCTCCCCTTAGTTCTAGCTGAGGGAGGTGGGGCAAAGTTCAAGAAATACGAGGAGATTGACAACGCCCCCGAGGAGCGAGCGCGGGGCATCACCATCAATGCGGCCCACGTGGAGTACAGCACTGCTACCCGCCACTATGCCCACACAGACTGCCCAGGTCACGCAGATTACGTGAAGGTGAGGGTTGCTGAGGACAGGGCCTCCCCGCCTTGCTGCCTTCTGTCAAGGTTAATGCTGGGGGGTGCGGGGGTGGGGGCGGTGGCAGTGATAGTGGTAATGTTAAGGTATTTGAACCGTAAATATCTTAATATCACGGTCATATCTTTAATGTTGGATGTAAAAGTAAAGATTTGTAGCTGGGTGTGGTGGTGCGTGCCTGTCATCGCAGCATTTGCGAGGCTGGGGCAGGAGGATCGCTGCAAGTTTGAGGCCAGCCTGAGCTACATAGTTCGAGGCTAGCCTGAACTATACAGCAAGACCCAGTCTGAAAAAAGAGAAAGATGTGGCCATGCGCACCAAAGTAGGTGGTGAGGAGATGGCAGGTGAAGAGGCTTAGTTTTTAACCGCTGCCTTTGGCTGGGTGGAGCGGAGGCAGTCGCTGAGCTAGGCCGTTTCTGCTGTTCCCCCTCCCTAGAATATGATCACAGGCACTGCGCCCTTGGACGGCTGCATCCTGGTGGTGGCAGCCAATGACGGCCCCATGCCCCAGACCCGAGAGCACTTACTGCTGGCCCGACAGGTACGCAGCCTGGGCGGTGGGGGAACGAGAAAGAGCGGGGAGCTGGGTGAGTCTGGACAGCGAATCTGTGTCTTCTGCAGATTGGCGTAGAGCACGTCGTGGTGTACGTGAACAAGGCGGATAGTGTCCAGGACGCCGAGATGGTGGAGCTGGTGGAGCTGGAAATCCGGGAGCTGCTCACCGAGTTTGGCTACAAAGGGGAGGAGACCCCTGTCATCGTAGGCTCTGCCCTCTGCGCCCTGGAGGTGAAGGCAGGACTGCTGCTGGGGAGGGTGTGGTTGGAGGGGCTTCCAGAGCTTCGCACTGTTTCGGTAGCGGCTCCTGTTTCGAGGAGCGCCGTGGAAATGGCATGGGTGTCCTGTCCGCTCCTCCCGGCAGCAACGTGACCCCGAGCTGGGCGTGAAGTCCGTGCAGAAGCTGCTGGACGCCGTGGACACGTACATCCCGGTGCCCGTGCGGGACCTGGAGAAGCCGTTCCTGCTGCCCGTGGAGTCGGTCTACTCTATTCCTGGTGAGGGCCGGGTGCCCCCACAGCCCCCCGAAGCGGCAGCCGCGCGCGGGCCCCCTGATGGCCTGTCCTGTCCCCCCAGGCCGGGGCACCGTGGTGACCGGTACGCTGGAACGTGGCATCTTGAAGAAGGGGGACGAGTGCGAGCTCCTGGGACACAGCAAGAACATTCGCTCTGTGGTGACAGGTATCGGGAGGGAGCTTGAGCCAGGCTGGGTCCAGGCCGACCTTTCCGGCGTAGACCCTGGAGCCCACTGCCTCCTCTTCCCTGCCCCGCAGGCATCGAGATGTTCCACAAGAGCCTGGAGAGGGCGGAGGCCGGGGATAACCTCGGGGCTCTGGTCCGAGGCCTGAAGCGGGAGGACCTGCGGCGCGGCCTGGTCATGGTCAAGCCGGGCTCCATCCAGCCGCACCAGAAGGTGGAGGCCCAGGTGAGGCTGCGGTGACCGCGGGCGGGGCTGAGCCGGGCTCCCGGGGAAGGGGAAGGGCTTCCAGCCACGCTGTTCTCTCCGCTCAGGTTTACGTCCTCAGCAAGGAGGAAGGCGGCCGCCACAAGCCCTTTGTGTCTCACTTCATGCCTGTCATGTTCTCTCTCACCTGGGACATGGCCTGCCGGGTCCTCTTGCCTCCGGGGAAGGTATGATGGGTGCAGGACGTGGAGGAGTGGGAGGGCCGCTGTGAGCTCTGCCTCGAGCAGAGCCCAGATCTAGGATGTGACAGCCCAGGCAGCTTTTCCTCAGGTAGAGACGGCGTGGCTGCTACTGGGACAAGTGAAACTAGTGGGGCTGCTCGTTCTTTTTGTGGTACCGGGAATCGAACTCACAACCTCATGCTTGCCAGGCAGGCGCTGTGCCGCTGAGCTGTATCCCCCATGCCCCCTTTTTTTGTGTGTTTTTTTGTTTTTTTTATTGGTACATTTAGATGTATATATAATGATCACGTTCGCCATAGGGAATTTGTACCTGTACGTGATACATCTTGCTGCTGCTGTTTTTCCCATTTCCCCCCCTTCAACTCCCTCCCCTTGTTACAAAAGCTTTGTGTCCATTTTTTCCTTCTCCCTTCTTTCCCTCACCCCGCTCCCTTGTTCCCCTTCTCATTTGAACATTCTTCCCACTTTCCAGTATCTGTTACACGTTTTTGCTCATTTACACTTTTGAGAAACAATGCAGTATTCACACGGGTGTCATTTATTTCACTGGTCCCAAGGTGCATCCATTTAGCTAGAAATGTCTCAAGCTCATCCTTCTTTATGGCAGAGTAGTACTCTATTGTATAAAAAACCCCACATCTCCTTTATCCATTCATTGGTTGATGGGCATTTGGGCTGTTTCCAAGATTTAGCTGTTACAGAGTGTGCCAGTATAAACATGGGGGTGCATATATCGTGTGGTGTGATGCTTTTCTTTCGGGAAGGTAGCAAGGGGAATGGAACCTCTAGTTTTAGTGTTTTTGAGGAGGCTGCACACTGGTTTCCACAGTGGTTGCAGCAGTCTACACCCCACCACAGTGGAGAAGGGTGCTTCTTCCCCACCGCCCCGCCAGCACTCGTTACTGGCTGATTTCGTGATGGTGGCCATTCTTTCTGGGTGAGAGGGAAGCTCAGAGTTGTTTTAATTTGTATCTCTCGGACGACCAGTGATGTTGGACATTCTCCCATACATTATTTGAGGACTGGTCTTGAGCAGGTGCTTATCTGCACACGGCCTAGGCTGACGCAGGTTCAAAGCTTCATCGCACCGCCTTCTTGCTCACAGACTCGTTCCTCAGGCAAGTGTGCCTCTTGTCAAGTTTCCTCTTACTAAACACAAGGGCTCAGACAGGCCCTGACTGAAGAACCTGCACAGCCTGATTGCTGGAACATTCCTTGTTGAAGTGTGCTTAGGAACACAGGTCACTGGCCCTCACGTGTTCTTGCATGCGTTTGCGTGCTGGCGATGCCTGGACAGATGGAGCTGTCCCCAGCGGACGTGATGCCGCTGTTGCGTTTCCCACGAGTGTGACCTCGGCAGCGGTCGCGGAATGATGGCAGCACCCTGAAGGCCGTGTGCACTTCTCTCCCACTCCAGGAGCTCGCCATGCCCGGGGAGGATCTGAAGCTCAGCCTTATCTTGCGACAGCCGATGATCCTAGAGAAAGGCCAGCGTTTCACCCTGCGAGATGGCAACCGGACCATCGGTACCGGCCTCGTTACTGCCACGCTGGCCATGACCGAGGAGGACAAGAACATCAAGTGGAGCTGAGTCTGAATTTCTGTTCGGGTTATGAGTTCAGGACTGCCCTGGCCAGTCTTCCCTCCTGCTTCTGGTGCCCCCTGAGGGCACAAGCTGGTGCCAGCAGGGCGCAGCTGGATGGACACTTCCCCTGGTCGTAGGTAGGCCAATAAACTGTTCTGTGAATAGTAAGCTACCTGTGTCCTTTGCATAAATTGGAGAAGACAGGATATAGAAAGATGTTGAAGCCCAGGACGCGCGAGAAGCTTATTAGATTCCAGGGCCATTTTAACCGAGTTCCTCTGATTGAAGATTATCTCTAATAATGGACAGTCTCTTCAAGGCCACCATCCTCACTGCTGTGACAAAAGGAATCGAGTCTGTTGAGCTTTATGTGATTAGCAAAATGGTATGGCAGGAGCAGAGTGAGTCCTAGGAAGCTGCAGGCAGAAGAATCCTAACTTTAAACCCACTCTGGAACTTAGTGACTTAAGGAGACTCTGTCTCAGAAATGTTAGCAGGGGGGCTGGGGATTTAGCTCATCGGCACAGCGCCTGCCTGGCAAAGTTGTGAGTTCGATTCCCGGTACCAGAAAAAAAAAATGTTAGCAGGTTTTTTGTTTTTGGTACTGGGAATCAAACTCAGGACCTTGCACTTGTCAGGCAGGCGCTGTGCCACTGAGCTGTATTTCCAGCCCTCTGTCTCAGAAATGGCCTGGGGTGTAGGTCAGTGTAAAGGGGTGGGTTCCATCCCCAGTACACCAAAACAAATGGTCATTCATGTGGTCCACTCAGGTGCCAAGGCCACATTTCCACTGGGTGGATTCTGGGTTGATACCCACCTACCAGCAGTTCTAAGAACAGCAAGTAGGGGTCAGGAATAAATGCAGCACAGTGTGATGTCAAACCTGTGATCCCAGCCACCTGGGAGGCCAAAGCAGGGGATCACAAGTTCAGAGGCCAGCCTGGGAAACAGTGAGGCTGCCGTAAATACAAGGGCAACAAATGTACAACAAAAGTAGCTCAGAGGTACAGTGCCCCTAGCTTCAATCTCCAGTGCCCACAAGTTTGTGTTTGGCATGGTGGTACATACATGTGATCCTAGTACTCCTCAGAGGCTGAGGCAGGAGGACCCAAAACTAGTCAGGAAGACCCTGTTCTCAAAAACAAAGGGCTAGGGGTAGCTGGGTGTGGTGGCACATGCCTGTAATCCCAGCACTTGGGAGGCTGAGGCAGAAGAATCGTTGCAAGTTCGAGACCAGCCTGGGCTACAAAGTGAGCTTGAGGCCAGCCTGAACTGCATAGCGAGACCATGTCAAGAAAAAAAAAAAAAAAAGGCTGAGTATATAGCTTTGTGTGAAGGCAGGAAATACTTGCTGAGATTTGAAATGAAAGACCATTTACCGTATTAGATATGCATACACTAAAATGCCAGGCAGATTTTGTAATCTAGCCACAAACCACAAGGACAGTGTTCAGGCTGGGTGAGGTGGGACACACCTGTGATCCCAGCTGAAGCTTTAGTGGCACAAGTTCTATGCCAGCCTGAACTGTAGATCTGTCTCTGCAGGATTCCCAGCTCCCGCCTCTTGCACTGCTGGCCCCCACCCCGATGTCCCCCAGCTCTGCCATTAGCAGCAGCAGCGGGGGCTGCTGCAGACCTCCTCTCACCAAATCCTCTTCCCTGCCACGTCCATTAGCCAGTGACAGGTTCTCAGAGCCTAGGGAGTAAGTTTTGTTCACGAAGATTTAACCCTGCTTGATGCCAAGCACCGGTGCCATCTTCACAATCCCAGAAGTGAGGAATAACTTCTATTTTCCCGGCAAGGAAACCAAACTGCCTCACAGAAGAAACGTCCCATGAAGCCTGTTACCACTTCTACATCCTAAACCCTTTTTTTTGGAAACAAGAGTCTCTGTACCACAAACTGTCCTTGAACTCCTAGAAGTCCTCCTGCCTCAGCCTCTCAAGTGTTGGAATCACACATTTGCGCCACACACCCAGATCCCAGCCCCTACTTTAACACTGGCTGCCCTAAACCTGGTTATCTAACGCTCTAAGAGTTCACCTTTATAGCTCTCACGCACACCAATGATCCCTCACCTGTGTACCAGTAGGACCTTTGTACTTCAATGACCAGAAACACTAAACAGATGTGTTTGCAAGGGCTTTGAGCCACCGTTACCCACAATGCCATAGTAGATAACTATACTGCTTCAAACATTAAATCTGGAAGTCATTTTCAAAAGAGCAGGCTAGCTAGGCACAGCGGCACACACCTGTAAATCCCTGCACTCAGGAGGCTGAGGCAGGTGAGTCAAGCTCAAGGCCAGCCTGAACTGCACAGTGAAATGTCTCACAAGAAAGACGAATGTATTACTCTGATCTGGTCCCCCACCCTCACCCCATCCAACGTTTGGGGAAACGGACTACACTGTTTACAGAACGGGTAAGTAGCAGAGAAATGCTGGCTACTATAACGTTACTCTCATCTCCAAAGAGCAAACTACAGTGAGGTTAAGTTAGTTTAAAATTTTATTTTTTTTATTTATTTTTTAATATTTTTATGTAATAAAAAGTAAAAGTCCTTGTCCAACCATCCTTGTGGGGCATCTGTCTGTCTCTCACGCAGGTCACTCAAGTTAATGGGAAGAAAGAACAGGGGGCCCAAGGCTGAGGTTATAAATAATAGAAAATAAAAGATCTTCCGTCTCCAGCGGGGAAATAGATGAGGATGGGAGGGCAAGACTAGGTGGGAACAGGAGGGGCGGAGCAGGAACCCCCCACCCCGCTGGCCCCTGGCCCTGCCCCCTTGGAGGCCCCTCCCGTTCAAGGTGCTTGGCGGGAATCCCCCAGCTCCCCAGGGAAAGGGTGGGGGGCTGGGACTGGTCCGAGCTGCTGGGGGAAGAGACATAGGTCACTCTTCCCTCCGCTCATGGAGGTCTCAGGTCGCGGCCAGGACAGTCTTCAGTTCCCCGGGGGGTGGAAGGGGAGCTGCTGGGAGGGATGAGATTGAACTGGTTGAGGGGAAAGAGAAGAGAGCAGGAGCATTAGAAGCCAGCAGCCGCCCCTGCACCACTGCGTCCAGGGGGCTGCGGGGTCACGTGGGAAGGAGCGGCCTCCTCGAGGTGTCGCGGGGCTGTCGGAAGCACAGGTCATCGCTGTTTCCCAGTAGGCCAGAGCCCTCACTCGTGTGCCCAGCTCAGCCCCCCGCACCCCAGTCTGGCCCTGTCTGCTGCGCTGACCTTACCTCGGCTAAGTCAGGAGACAGTCGGGGTCACTGAGAGCTGGGGAGGCAGTGGGGAGGGGGGCTGCTGGATCACAACTGAGCGAGGACGGAGGGAAGCAAAGGACAGAGCCAGGAGCAAGCCCCTGGCGGCGGCGGCTGTGGCTTCTGCCCACCCTACATACTTCACAGACAGGTGCAGGTCGGCGGGCGCCCTGTGGGACAGCCCTGCCTCCGCGACCCCTCACTCCCCGCCCAGAACCCGTGCATCCTGCCCCACCTGCAGCCCCTCGGCTCTTCCGTGCCAAATTCCCCCAGCTAACGAGAACTCACGAATCCTGTCATCGGCTCCTCCTGGAAATCCAGGCGCCTGGCCAGGCTGCTCACCTTGGGGGTGTCCGATGTAGGGGTAGGGTGAGGGTGTGGAGGCTGAGAGTGCAGGCACCCCGCTCTGGGGCACTGCGCCTTGGGGGGGGCCCCCATGGCTCTGAGGTGGGTGCAGCAGCATCACCTGGGGCGGGTGGGGAGCCCCAGGGTGAGGGGGCGGAGCTGCTGTGATTCCAGTTTGGACATGGGCCTGCGGAGGACAGAAAACAGGTGGGAGCACCGAGGGCCTGCGATGGGATCCTAGGAGGCCGATGGGGGACACTGTGGCGGAGGCGGGCAGGGACTCCCCCGTGCACCAGCCCCATGGGCCACGATCTCCAGCCAACAGCCTCTGAGGAAGCGGCCCCCCGGGCTCTTACCTGGGTAACATGGGCCATGTTGGTGAAGCTGTGGGGCAGCTGCTGGTGGGGGTGGATGGCATACACAGCAGCTGGCTGGGGGAAGCTGCTCTGAGGGGACTGGGCAGAAGGTCCCGGCGGCAGAGAGGGCGGCGTGCCTGTCAGGGCCCCTGGGTGGTACAGATTCTGCTGGGGCTGTCCACTGCCCAGGTGTGGGGCCTGCCCCGCCTGGTGCTGTCAGGAAGAGCAGGGGAGGAGGCCGTGAGTGCCCTCCTGTCTCCTGTGCCCAGGACAACCACTGCTGCTGCCGGCCCTCCGCCCACCCAGACTCCCAGGGCAGACACCTGGACGGGACTGGGGGCCGCATGCTGGGACTGCGGCTGGCTCCCAGTAGGCGTGGTGGCCGGCTGCGGCTGGTGGGCATGGAGCGGTGTGGCATGATGTGGATAGGACTGGTGAACAGTGGCTGCAGCGGGAAAGACGGAAAACCAGTGCTCAGCATCACCTGGGGCGGGTGGGGAGCCCCAGGGTGAGGGGGCGAGGAGCACAGAGCGGGGGCGGGGCCGCAGCAGAACTCACCATAGAGGGCTTGAGGGGTGGGCTGCTCTGCAGACGGGTACTGAGGAGTAGAGGATGACACAATGGCCTGGGGGTGGCTGCCCGACGTCAGCATGCGGGGGTTGCTCTGAAGCATGGGGGCAAACACCGGCTGCAGGTGCAAAAAGCAAAGCGGTCAGCACAGCGGTCCACGTGCGCCCAGCACTCCCGGGGCCTGGCACAACGACCTTACTCAGGGTTCAGAGACACCCTGCCACGCAGGTGCTGCTGTACGCACCAGAGGAGAAACGAGATGCCAGTACTCAGTGCCTCGTTACAAGCTCTTTCCACCAGAGGCAAGATGCAAGCCCAGGGCTGACAGCCATCCTGCAGCCACCCCCCGCCCGGTTCTCAATGAACCCAGGATGTGCAAGGGGCCACCGGCAGGGACTCGGGGCCGCCCGCCCCCCCCCCGTGCCACCATCACCTGTGAGGGGTAGTGGGCCATCGGCTGCATCATGGCAGGCTGGCCTGGGAACTGCTGCGGGTTGTAGGGGATGTAGGAGGAGTATGGTGTGGCAGCCACCAGGGGCGGGCCAGCGGCGGTGGCAGCCTGCATCATGGGAGGAGCTGAGGCTGGCTGGTGCTGGTCGGAGCGCTGCGGGGGCAGGGACCCTGGAGGGGCGGGAAAACAGCAAAGCTCA